TCGTCGGGGAGAAAAAAAATTGTATGTCTTTTTCACATATTAGTAGACTCTAAAATCGATTAAATACGCCTTTTAAACCCATAAATTGTCAAACTTTTTCGGGGCTTCGCCCCCTGGACCACTTTCGGAAACCTTTTAATCAAAGCTCGACCACGCCCACTTTGCTTTCGTCGAGGAAATCTGACCTCTCGTCGGAGCATCGGCCTCCGTCGGGGACCTCGCCCCCCCCCCCCCCCCCCCCCGGGGTAAATCCTGGCGCCACCCCTGTTTGTTTTACCTTTTTTAAAGATAGCTGTAATGATTCCATGTCTCCATTGTTCGGATTCCATGTCTCCATTTCCCCATTGCTTATACATAGCCTAAGACATTAGTCCTAGAAAACAAATTTAAATTTACTAATATAATGAGAAATAAATTGCACAAGATAAGGATAAAAATTAGTTACTGTATTAAGTTAAAGTTCCTTTTATCATTTTCAGAGATTTGTGTTTAAAATTTAATTTGGAACGTTGCACAGTGGGCCAGACTGATGTCAAAATTAATTACTCATTACAGAAGCTAATCTAAGCGAATATAAGACTTATCTAGAGGTTTTCATACCCGTAGAATGCAATAAAAGCATTTTCAAATCTATATGACGTCATTTTTGTACTGCTTTCTGATTGGACGATGTCAGTTTTCATTGTAACACCAAAACAAGTTCATATTGCAATGATTTTTGAAATGTTTAAGGATGCTTGGGACAAAAGAACTTCTGTGGGAAACTTTTTTGTATTTTCAATGACGTCATCAAAATACATTTTTCTGATTGGACGGGGCCGAAAGTGTTTTAGGCATAGGCCAACATTAAAATTTCTATTGTTTATTTATTTTTTTATTTATTCAATGGAACCACCTTTATATCGGTGGCACACATCATTCAATGGTGCATCCACATTACAAAATACAAAATTATACAAATAACATATTAAACTACAGGAAAAGAGAAAAGTTCTAAATTCTAATACAAAATACAAATGATACACCTAGATATATATAGAGCATATCAAATATATATGTATATATACATACATACATACTTTTTCGTTAGAAGTACAAATCGTACATAGACCTGTGTTATTTTTTGACCAGGATTGTCTACGACCCTCAAGATATAAAGAATTTGATCTTGCTTTAAACTTTAAATTAATACTCATAAAATCATATTTTTATCTAGCAAATATTGTCCAGAATTTGGAATTCCTTTATACATAATATATTCTGTTAATGCTGATTTGCTTTAAGCTCTTGCAAACCAATCTTTATAGTCAACTTGTTTATTATTTTTTCTAAACGGCTTTATCCATTTAATTGATGGTTCTTGATTAAATTTGTCTATAAAATTTATAACCAATGCCATGTCATACTTTCTCGGACGGATAAAATTGCTTTGAAAAGTAAACAAGACCACCTACAATCTTCCATATTTTTTAATCTGTTAAAATATTGAACTCTGTAATCATTTTGTAAGGAAACGATGCTTTGCCATCCCAAATCACCGTACAATGCTTCCTTAGCAACATTTCTTGGTTCTTTTAGTATTATCCTAGCCATTTGGTATTGCAAGTTCTCAATTTTTTCTTGTGAGGTTTTCCCATTACTATACAGAGCCAAACAGAACATGCGTAATTTATTGTAGATAGTCCGATCACTTTCCAAAGCAGGTCACCATAGTAGACTCTGTCAAAGTCTAATTGCTCAGATATTATAGATTTTATGTATGCAATTATACGGTTACCTTTTCCTAATCACTTCATTTATATAATATGTATCAGGCAACGATCGAGATATGTGTACACCAAGGTATTTATACGTCTCTGCTTCTGATATATAATTTTCACCTATTTGCCATTTCCTATGTACATTGATTCTTTGGCCTGTGATTAAAACGTTTGATTTCTCATAATTAAACGAAAATTTCCATGTTCGTGAAAATTCTGAGGCCGTTTCCAATAGTGAATTCAAATCTCGATCGTTTTCTGCGATTAATACCACGTCATCTGCCCAAAAGAGGCTACCTATTTTAACATTAAAAATATTTACACCCAAGTTCTTACATTTTATCATTTTATACAGTTCATTAATAAATATTGAAAACAATAAAATAATCTGTAATAGTATCACCAAATGATACTTTACATTGCACGTTAAAATAAAGGTTCTTGATTATATTAAGTAAATTGCCTTTAATACCTACTTTGTTGATAGCCTGAATAAGGCCATCTCTCCAAACAGTGTCGAATGCCTTTTTGAAGTCGAGGAAAGCAAGGTAAGTTTTTTTACCTTCAGCTTTTCTAGTCCATTTCTTTTCAGTCCATTTCGACCGTTTTCTCTTGTTTTTTTTATCTTATTCTGTAATGACTACAGGACTAAAAAGCATATTCCTGCCATATCTCAGAGCCACGCTTGGAAAAGCGAGACCATCTGCTTTGGCACTACTTAGTATTGATCGTGATGAAGCAGACAAAATTGCTAACTTGATTACCTTGTTATTAACTTATTTGCTGATACAAAAGCACACAAAATTCGGTTGCAAGTTTAAACAATGTTAACAATTCAGCAACTTACACGACTCCATTATACGATAAATTTAGAGAATAAGAATACTGAGATGTATGAGATAAATACAACAGCCTTACAAATTAGGATAATGGTAAAGTTGTATACAAAGTTCCGAACATTGTAATGCAGTTTCAATAGTAAGAAACAGGGATGGCGCCAGGGCCTCCTTCGGGAATAGCTGCCCCCCCCCCCCAACATTCGTCGGGGAGAAAAACCTTAATTCGTTGAGGAGAAAAAAAAATAGGCCTATAATATGTATTTTGTAAATATTAGTAGACTCTAAAATCGATTAAATAAGCCTTTGAAACCCATAAATTGTCAACAATTTTCGGGGGCTTCATCCCCCCCCCCTACAGGCCACTTTCGAAAGATTTTGAGCGACGTTCGATCAAGCCCACTTTGCTCTCTTCAAGGAAATCTTCCCCCTCGTCGGGGCATGCCCCAACCCCGAACATTGGACCACATCGGGCAAATCCTGGCGCTATCCCTGCTAAGGGATTATTATTATTTTATTATTATTGCTATTGTTAATTGTTATTGTTATTGTTATCCCACAATAACTTACTGTGTATAAAAAGAGCAGCTAAGATAGTTTTAAAATGTGACTTTTTTACCCCATCTGCACATATGTTTGCACAACTCAGTTGGCTTTCGTTTTCTGAAAGGGTTACGTATAAAAAAGTTATACTTGTTTATAAATGTATTAACCAATTGACAACTTTATACATGACAAACCTTTTCACACCGTTATTGCTCAACTACTATGAAGTTGAAGGTTCCTTTTTTCGAAAAGCGAAAGTTAATCCACGAGTTTTAAGGTGACCGGGCCGAATATATGGAATTACTTAGGTATTGATTTGAGAACTGCGACTTTCCTCAACATAATTAAATACAAATTGAACGAGGCACAAGAAAATATAACCGGTTACGACCATGTGCTTTAAATGCAGGGCCCTAATGGAAATCAGTGTTTTAACTGTTTTGGGCTACCCTGGGTAAATAAATAAATAAATAAATAAATATCATTAATATCATTATTATCATTATTATTATCATTATTTTTCATTATTTATTATTATTATTATTATTATTATTATTATTATTATTACTATTACTATTACTATCACTATTACTATTACTATTACTATTATTATTATTATTATTATTATTATTATTATTATTATTATTATTATTATTATTATTATTATTATTATT